TCCGCCTGGGCTGGTGGCCTTTTTTGTCCTGGGTTGGCCTGTTCTCGCCCCGGTGTTCATACGTGGAGCCGCGGTGCCTTAGGCGGGGCGGGGTCAGGCTGGCACCAAGGGGCTCACGCTGTGGGCGGCCTGCCTTTCGTTTCCCTCCAGCTGCGGGAGTACAAGGTGGTTGGGCGATGCCTGCCCACGCCGAAATGCACGACCCCTCCTCTCTATCGCATGCGGATCTTTGCTCCGAACCATGTTGTTGCCAAGTCCCGGTTCTGGTACTTCGTTTCTCAGTTAAAGAAGATGAAGAAGTCTTCTGGAGAGATTGTGTACTGCGGTCAGGTACGGGATTAAACACCAAAAAAAGTGGGAGATTTTTAAGATGTTTTAGCTGATATATGTGGAAAGAATTTATATAAAGTCTTGTTATTAAGGATGAGGTTGAAATTAATTTATTCTTTAGCTGCTGTGAAGGTGGGTGTCAAATTCCTTTTTTTAATATGGCAGTGTATGTCCAGTAAACTGAAAAGAACCTTACATCTCATCACTTTAGAGTTACGAACTCTGCTACTGGACAGTGCTGATGTCTGGTTCTTATGCTTACTTCACTGTGGACTAAACTTTTAAGAGTCATCTGGACATTGATAATTCGTGGAAAGTAGATACTTGTATGCTTACACTCCTCTACCTAGATGCTTAAAGAACATTCTTTAGAGCTTGAAATCTTGTGTGTGTTTTTCTTTTTGCACTGGATTACTAAAACTTCATTTTGAATTACCAAAACTTGAAGGTAGCTGCGTTGGTGTGTGGAAAGGAAGCAAATAGTTAGTTTTGACAATAAAACCACAGTAGTTTCATTAGAACTCTGAAATATTTATTCTTCATCGTGTAAAATGCTGATGATGTACTGTCTAACTGTGTGCTCTTGTGCAATTTCAGGTGTATGAGAAGTCCCCTCTGCGAGTAAAAAATTTTGGTATTTGGTTGCGCTATGATTCTCGTAGCGGGACTCACAACATGTACAGGGAGTACAGGGACTTGACCACGGCTGGTGCAGTCACTCAGTGCTGTAAGTACATGTAACTGTTTGAGGTATAAAACAGTAGGACCAGTAGATATGCACAAGATTAAATCTTAAACTGGGATAAATCATGTTGACTTGACCCATGATAAGGTAACTGAAACACTGGAAAAATAAAGCAGGGTGTTCCCAGAGAAGTACCTAGATGTTTATGTATGTGGTATCTTATTTGTGACCGTTCTATACAGTTTCTTGAGCTGAAAATCTTCCCAATTCATCCTGGTGTAACCTCTACAATTCTAGTGATGATTTTTGCTGTACAGACTAAGAGTTTCATGACCTTTTAGGTGCGGTACATACTTCATGCATTATATTTACTGTTTTAAAACATATTTTCCCAAGCCTTGTGGAGGGATTGTGTTAGCTATCATGTGGAACATACTAACATCTGTCCTTAGGACAGCAAATTAAAAAAAAAAAAAATAGTAATTGTGGGGTAGCAGGAGAATCTGTGTTGCTCTGACATCTCATTGACTCGGTTCAGGGAGAATTAAAAGGTGTCCTGATTTCAGCCTGTTACCTCAAGTACTTGAGGGTAGACCATTTGTATAGCTGATGTGGAGTCCAGAAGGGTTATAAACAATACAGAATGCACATAAAAACCCAAAGAATATTGTTATTAATAATAATATTCTTGTCATGTGTGCAAATATTAAATGTATCTTGTCGCCTTTCAAAAGCTGAAGTGCTGTTGAAAGTGAAATTTAAGGTTCTACATTAACTTACTATGATCCTTGTTGACTAACATAATTTGTTGTGACACAGTGACTTAGATGTCTTTATGTGAAAGAATACTTTTGACAGATGTGTTTTCCATAGGTATGTTAGAAGCACTGTAAGCACAGTAGTATTTCAACAGGCTTGTCTTGTGGAGCTAGCTATGGACAGTGTGATTTGAAGGCAGTGACTTGCACTGCCCCTGGCAGTTTTCAGGTAGCCTGTGTATAGTTGGCTTTCTCCTGTTCTGAAAGCCTAATTATGTGGGCTAAATATCAACTCATGTTTGTATTACTTGTCAGTTTTAAGAAAAGTAAAGATAACCTCAGGTCTTACCTTTACTTGTACCTTTTGGAAGGGATTTTTTTTTAAGTTTACATGTCTTTCCATTAATAATATTTCAATGTTGATTGTGAATCACAGTTTTCTTTTGCAAAAAATGAAAAAGTTCCCACATAGGATGCTTCTGTACATGCGCACCTTCTTGAAATCAGGCAAGAAGAATAAGATGGCCCTTTCTTGGAGGGGTTTGGCGATGAGTTCCAGGAAGAATTTGCTGCTGCGTGTTAGTTCTGTGATACTTCTGCCATCACTTTAGATATTAGAACCAGTGTGGTTTAAGTAGAGTTAATCAGAAATTTGAAAAGTTAAGGATGGTACTATAAATGGGGCGGGGGGTTGGTTTGTTTGTTTCTTTGTTTTTAAAAAAAAAACCCAACCCAGTAGTGAGATCTTTTAACTTAAAATGTCTTAAGGTTTATTTTTAACAAGTTCTCTTGTTACAGACCGTGATATGGGAGCCCGTCATCGTGCCCGTGCTCACTCTATTCAGATCATGAAAGTTGAGGAAATTGCTGCTAGCAAGTGCCGCAGACCAGCAGTCAAGCAGTTCCATGTAAGTGAAGTAATGTTGCAGGGGCTGGTGGGTCCTCATCGAACGTTGGACTGGAAGGGGGGAGTTCTGCTGTCTGGTACAGGTTTGCATAGTGAGCAGAAATAGGGAGGGAACCGAACTTGTGTGGAGAGGTTTACGGTTTTATTACAATCGAGGCTTTTTACTGCTTGGGAGTAAGTAAAACTAAAACAAATACGTATGATGTTGCAGAAAACTTGCCTTTTACAGTCACTTCTTTCAAAAAGAATTGCAAGGCTGAGGCATCTGTTAGTTCCTAGGAGTGTATGTAATCTGTGGAGGCATTACTTCCCTGTACATAGCTTAACGGTTGAATATAGCTATTTATCGCAGATTATTTTCTGTTGTTCATCTAATATCTCGGTTAACACAGAAACATTTTTCTTGCAGGACTCTAAAATCAAGTTCCCTCTGCCACACAGAGTTCTGCGTCGCCAGCACAAACCACGTTTCACCACCAAGAGACCAAATACTTTCTTTTAAATACTGCGAAAACGTGCTCTCAACTCTGTGTTGGAATAAAGGTCTTATTTGAACCTTTGATTTCCAGTTGTCTTGCAGAAACGGTGTCCCGGGTACGTAGGAGTCCCCCTTCCTCTTTTATTTTCTGTGAACTATTGGCAGCCTACTGTGATTGCCTTGAAACAGGTGAATGTTTCAGGTGCTGACTTAAATTACCAAAGTATCCCATCAGTAAACCAAAATTTTAATAACGGGCTTGCCGGGTCACGGTCCGTCTAGTGCTGAGCAGCTCTAAACCCCTACATACATTGTGTCCCTTAGGCCCTCCAGGTCAATACAGTTGAATTTGGGAAGAAGGCAGCAGTTGGGGCATGCAGAACTCAGACTTGTCAGCTGTAAGAATAAAGACGTCATAACTTCAGTTAAGCTACTTCAAGTTTTAAGCGTTTAAAGCCAACACTTTAGTTCTAACCGGAACCTTTTGGAGGGTGTTACACACCATTCTGAGTTAACTCATAGGTTTACAGAGGTGCCTGCACCTAGAAATGAGAAGTGGCGAAGAGTTTGGTAGACTTACCTGGGATATTAGACCAGTTCTGTTGAAAATCGATTTTTATATCCAAACCCAATCCGTAGGCTACCCTCTTTACAACATAATGCCACAGGGAAAGGGACCGTTGCAGACACTGTGTCCTTAAGGTTTATTAAAAAGGCTGCTTCACACCTAAAGCCATTTTTTGCACTTTGTGCCTCGTTTAGGTCAGCGTGTTTCCTGAAGAAGAGGTAGGCGGCTGGTTGAGTTAACATGGGGGCCTTGCCCAGAGTTAGAGCTTGTCTATGTCTTGTGGAGGTATGTCAGCTTAAAAACAACGGCAGGTGCCAGTGGAGCGCAGGGAAACTCGGAGGAACTGGGAGTGTGTTAAGTTTTGGGGTAGCTGGAGATGTGCAACTGAACCGGGAGAGGACCTGCCTGTTGTATCAAGCAAGAGACTCACTGGGTGTAAGGGGGGGTGGCTGTTCCTCCTGAATTGGGCCAGTCAGTGCTGCCACTAAAGCTCCCCCTTCTGTGGCCTCGTGCCCCTGTGCCTCAGCTTTGCGCTCTTCATTGCCTCAGGGTAAATTACTTCATCTGCCCAAAACGTGATCTGGATAGAAAGGATTCATCTGGGCAATGCATGATCTCCCACTCACGAGGGAGGGGAAAGTATAAAAACCAAATGTTTGGACAACTGGGGGTTCCTGCAGGAGTCTCCCCGGGGTGGTGCCAAAGGGTAGGAGTAAGGTCACCTGCAAGACCTTGTAATTTGGAGCTTTTTAATTGAAAGAACAATTTAGCCTGAAAATGAGCTTCAGATTAAGTTTCCTAACTGGAAAGCTTAAAGAGGGTGGCAGAGGAGAGCTCCTGCAGGAACCAGCGCCCCTGCGCCAGCCTGGACTGCCAACTGCCCTGTGGAACTGGCCTGTCCTGAGCAGGTAATGGAATACCGCTACGGTTCAACACAT